TACAGACACGGGAAGAAGCAATCGGGAGGGGTTAAGTCCAGTTACATTTGCTTTTTTTTTTTTTTTTTTTAATTGCCAAGGGAGTAACTCCTGCACCCCGTGGGTGCTCTCTGTGTCGTGGCAGGGTGGACTACGAGCGCATCCAGGCCGTGGGCCCCGACCGGGCGGCCTCGGAGTGGCTGCTGCGCTGCGGGGCCCTGGTGCGGTTCCAGGGCTCCCCAAAGTGGCAGCAGGACTACAACGGGCTCCCCACGGGGCCCCTGGGCAAGTACAAGATAGAAGCCATTAATGCCACCGACTCCTGCATCATGTACAGAGGATTCGACTATCTGGGTAACGTCAGATTGTTCTTCATGGTCTTGGTTTCAGTGGCATCGTCGTATCGATAACTGTGTCATTGTCTCATTCCTTGGCAAGAGACTGAGAAGTCTCCTGTGGGTTTTTTTAACCTTAATATGGCTTTATGAGCTCCTGAGGTTCTGCTGGAGGTGGGTGATTGGGAACTTCATCAGCCCTTGCCTGACATGTCCGTAGCACTAAGGAAGTGCCTCGAATTTTGATGAGTTGGCAGCAAAAAGCACTATAAGTATTCTTTTTTTTTCTACACCAAGCCATGACTATGGTATCTCTGAAATCATAATTCTGCTTGTTCTCCAGGTATTTATGACATCTTCAAAGACAGAAAGCAAACACTTGGTTTCTTACAAAACGTTAAAAAGGTGTTTCGGGTCTCCTTTAAATAGCAGAAACCAAAATGGGCAACAGTTATTGAAAAAAATTACTATTTTTTCATAGCAGGGGACCTTGAATTTCCTGCATGAGCACATCTCCGTGTCAGAGTCATTGTTTATCACCCAAACTTGTTGTTTTTTTGTGACATGCCCATGTGAAAGCTCTTCAAATCTTACCAAAAGGGTTTTCATTGATTTGAAGTACCAGAAAGGGACTTTGGGAGATTCATTGGGTGTTATGGCCCCGTGTGTACAGGATCTTGTTGCTGGGTGGGTTTGGAGGCAGAACTCAACAACCAGCACAGGCTGGTCCTGGCACTCTGAATCAAATCCTTGTTTTTGTCTTCCCAGACGGTCTGGAGCACGTCACGGACATCAAGCTGGAGAAGTGCATGTACATCCAGGACGAGTGTCTGCAGAGGCTCAGCGAGACAAACAACCTGCAGAAGAGTCTCCTCCAGCTGAAGATCATCTCCTGTGGGAATGTCACAGACAAAGGCATCCTTGCCCTTCACAAGCTGATGTACGTGAGCCCCTGAGCGCTTCCACAGCTCCCTTGTCACAGGCTGTTTCGGGATTGTGTTGGGTGGGAAGGTTGGAGTCTGGCCATTCCAGATGTGTGGGGCTGCTCCCTGTCACCTGTGCCTCAAGGTCCTGGGGCAGACCTGAGTCCTGGGGTATGGGATGCACTTGGATACTGCACCTCTGCAGCTAAAAAACCTCCCATTAGAACCAGTCACCTTATAAAATACTCCAAACCACTACAGTGGAATTATCCTTTCTCTAATTTCTCTGTCAGCAGTTAAATAGTTGCTGATTTTCTTTTTAAATACTTACAGGAACCTTAAGTATTTGTATCTGAGTGACCTTCCTGGGATCAGAGAGAAAGAAACCACCTTTCACGCCCTCCAGCAGGCGCTGCCAGAGCTGGAGCTGGAGCTGGACTTGGACTAAACACGACAGCAGTAACTGAGATGTGACTTCCTAGTATTTATCATATATTGCATAAATTAAGTTGTAGAAGCTGCTGTGTTTCCCGGTGTGGAAATAAGCCCAGCTCTCCCAGTCCAGCCTCAAAAGCTGTACGTTGCGTTTTCAGAAATTATGCACTGAAGTTTTGTTAAGCTTACACTAAACGGTGGACATCAGCAGAGAAGGCAGCTTAAATGGTGGATGTCAGCAGAGAAGGCAGGCTTCTGTACAGAGTCATCTGTTCCTGTGTTCATAGGCAGCTGCTGATACCTCAGTGAGGAGTGTTCAGCTATTTCACCGCACAGAAATGAAGCGACAGTGACGATGGGCGGTGAAGCCGCAGCACTGGGCGCGGTTGGTGATGGGTGTTGGTGCTGTGGGGACAAAGGGCTGTTCACTCTCAGAATCCCACCCTGTCAGTGGGAGCTGATTTAATAAAAGCAGTCATGGGTCATCTTTGTGTTCTTCATGCTTTGACTTCTGCTGTCTGGTTTCAGTGGAGTGATCTGCAGGCAGGCAGGGTCACTCCTCAGGACACGGGATGGAGCACGGCTGGCTGTGCAGGAGCAGTGGCTCTTGGATATGCCCTGGTGCACATTTTTGCCACATGCTGACATGGACTGGGTGAGTTCTGTGCAGCCCTTTGGCTGCATCCTCATCACTGCCGATGAATGGGAGAATCAGCATCGTTCAGGTTGGAAAAGCCTCCATGAGCATTGACTCCAGCTGTTCCTCCAGCACTGCCAAGGCCACCACTGACCCGTGTCCCCGAGTGCCACATCCACATGGTTTCTAAATCCCTCCAGGGATGGGGACTCCCCCCCTGCCCTGGGCAGCTGTGCCAGGGCTGGACAACCCTTTTTTCCACAATATCCAACCTGAGCCTCCCCTGGCACAGCTGGAGGCCGTTCCCTCTCCTCCTGTCTCTGTTCCCTGGGAGCAGAGCCCGACCCCTCCTCGGCTCCCCCCTCCTGATCTGTCCCACTGAAATGGCTTTGACTGTTGTGGAACGCAGAATGTACTGGGAAAACATTTCTGCTCTTAGTTTCAAGTAAAAAAATAAATCCAGTAAATTGGAAAAACAAGCTACATTTCTTTTATTCAAAATCGACCCAATATTACATCCTGAGATTCCACAAACCCGAGTCACTTTTTATACAAACACTTAGGTAGAATTCCTGCCCGTGTCTGGCCATCGTTATAAATTATGCTCATGATTAGTTTTGATCAAAACAATTCCTGTAACTACAAGCAAGTGGCTTCACTATTGTCAGAAACAGCCAAGAAGACCAGTCTCAACTGACGGATGAAACACTCAGGAGAAACTCTGGAAAGAGTAAAGAAAGGAGAGGTTATGGTTGGTGTGCTCTCCTGGGAGTGGTGCCTGCTGAGCCTGTGAAGTCACTACCAGCAGCTGTAGCACTCTGTGATCTGGAAGCGCAGGAGCGAGGCAGGGGTGTCTCTGGAGCAGGCTGGGAACTACCTGGAGCAGTCAGGCAGCCTCTCCTCAGGCTGGACTCACTTTGGACGTGTCACAACGTTTAGTAATTTAGTTTCCCACCGTGTATCCTCCCTTTATACATCCCGAATTCATCCTTGAACTTTGAACAGTCAGGTCTGAAGGTGGTCAGATGTTTGGGAAGTGGTAGTTGGATTTCCTTGTTTTGCAGCAGTGCTTCTTGCTGTCCAAAGCCGGGAGGACGTTACTGCTGGTCAGCTGGGGCAGGTGCTGCAACTGAAGGGAAAGTTACACCGACTGTATTTGTCTGGAATGAGAATAAAGCACACTTTTCCACATGGAAAAATGTCACTATTTCCTACAGTAATCCCGTACTTCTCATGCTAAGAGCCATGGATCTGGGGTTCTGTGCCGGGACTGCAACCAGATCAACTCATTCAAGGGATTTCTTCCAGTCATCCAGGGCAAGAAAAATATTGCTGTTATATCCCATGGCATAGAAACGGAAGAGGCGACTCAGTCTGATCCAGGAATTTACATTTCTCCATCCCTCACCTCCAACTTCCCTGCCCCTGCCATGGGGAATGTGGCTCTCAGGAATGACTTGCATTGAGAGGCTGGATCTGGGGACTCGGGATGGAGTCCGGACAGGCTGAAGGAGCAGGGAATTTGTTGGCAACTCCAGCTGCAGGAACACCCAGTGTGTGGTGTAACGTGGAACTGAGTATGGGATCATGTCCCATCACCAGCTACAAACAGAACTGGGCATTTTTTCCATCTCTGTAATTTGGGATTAAAAAGCACAAAAAAGATCCGAAATTAAACCAGCCACGTGAGTGTGTCCAGTTTGTTCAGCTCTCCTGCTACCCTTTGTCAGGAATGCAGATTCCTGGATAACCCTGCTGGTTCTCAGGGCTGTGCTGCTTATCCCCGGTGCCCCGCAGAGCTGCAGGGCAGTATCCAGTTTGTGTGGATTTACTCTTTAGCCAGGAGGTTTGTTTTCTCCTCAAGATAAAACTGAGACCAGTCCAACACCCTAAACTGCCAGCCCAGCCCAGCTCCTGGGAGCCAACAAAAGAACCAGCCCCTCCTCAGGCACAGAACATGAAACACTGTGGCAAAGTTACCCCTGGCATGTGCTTCCGAGGCAGCCTGGCTGCTTTCCGAGCTGTTTTCTCCTGTTCTTTCCCCAGATCCACTGCCTCCCTGAAGCTGTCAAAGTAGGGATGCTGCAGCAGCTGCTCACAGCTCTGCCTCTCTGCAGGGTCCATCCGAAGGCATCCCTAGAAAAAATGAAGGATCACACAAAACACTCATGAAACAGGTCTGCACAATTCCAGCTCCTCACCACAGCCAACGAGTATTCCCACAGGCACATGGGTTAATAATTTTTTTAATGCATTATAAGAGTGGCTGTTCAGTCAGCAGGAAGCTTGAGGAGCAGCTGATACCCAGCAATTGCAGCAATTAATCAAGGAATCATGGAATGGTTTGGGTTGGAAAGGACCTTAGAGCCCATCTCATTCCAACTCCCTGCCACGGGCAGGGACACCTTCCACCAGCCCAGGTTGCTCCAAGCCCCTTCCAACCTGGCCTTGAGCACTTCCAGGGATGGGGAATCCACAGCTGTAGTAGGAGCTGTGGCTCGAGGAACAGGGGCAGGAAACCAGCTCTATTTTTCAATGAATCTCTGATAACTCAACCCCCAACTCACACCATTTCCTGACAAGTGACACAGACCCCATTTGCTCATCTCAGTGCAGGGCTGGAGCTTTCTTACCTTCATGAGAGACAGAGCCGAGTATGAAATATTGGGGAATTTCATTTCCAACGGCTCCTGGAGGGAAAAAAAAACCCCAGTGAGTGTACTCATATCAGCAAGCTTTTCATTCATCAGGGGACAGAGACCCAGCTTCCCACAGCCACGTGACCTCGCAAAATGCCTCCCTTGCTCCGTGTGCTTACAGGCCTGGCATTTACCAAGGATGTGCCACCACAAATGGGGGGAAGGGGTGGAGAGCAATACTTTTTTGACTGTTTTTACAAAGTGCAGAAGTTAAAATGTCGTGAGACGGGTTCAGCCACCTCCAGGTAATATCCTGGTGCACACACTGGCAAAGTAAAGGGCAAAGCTTTTGGATTGGGAAAAAATGTGCTGCGCAGCAAAGGACTGGGCGAGCTGAGCAAGGCTTTGCCAGCTCCACTTCCAAAGCAGGCAGCACGTGGGTAAAAAGAAGCAGGAGCACTTCCCTGTCCAAACACCTCATCTGCTTAGCAAAGGATTAGAGAGGGAGAGAGACTGGTTAGCAGCAGGCTCAGGGGAATTGCATCTGGAGGAGGCAGCTCTTACCATGCTCTCTGGGTCTGGAATTCTTACCCCGCTGAAGAACTGGTTGGTGCTGAACACTTGCTGGTGCCTGGGAATGAGATCCCCTTGGACCAAGAACAGAAAGAAATTTGAGTTAATTGGCTGTTTGTCCTGTACAAGGTTGTATCCCCCCCACAAGGCTGATGCCACCCAAGAGAACATCCAAAGAGATGGAATACCACCAAGTGAGCTGAGGGAATGTTCCTCTGTGACACCTGATGTCCACTTGGGCCATCAGTGAACTGTTCCAGCTTCAGGAAAATTTAACTCCTACTGGTGAAATTCCCTTTGGACACTCCTGAGCGTGTTGTATGGAGCAGAGCTGATGTGCAGCTCCACCAGGAACACGCTGCAGCTTTTCTCCAGGGCAGCTTTTTTGAAGCTCAGAGCAGCTCAGAGCAAGGAAAATGCTAAAATCAAGCCCGTAACAAAGAGCCAGTAAAATGCCACCCCCCATAATGGCACAGCTTCCACCGAGGAGCTTTGCTCACTCCAGCACCTGCATCTAACGGGAATCTCTTCTGGCTGAAACCCTGTCATTAAAAACGAATTGTAACTGCCTAACACTGGCTTTAATGGGTTCTGGAGGGTGAAGCAATCGGTGTTGAACTATTTTCCTAGCTAAGGAGCTTATCTGTTTAAAGCCATTAGTTTTATAAACTGCTCAGTAAAAATTACAACTCTCAGTTCATTCCAACAAATTTCAGTTAAAAGTGAGGGGGTTGTTCGTTGCCAGGCAAGAAATCAGATGTTACACACCAAGATCAAAGAGAATCAATGAGACTGCATTAATTTAAGTGTTATGGGGATAGTGGCTCTTTTATTTAACAAATAAATCCGGAGTGGCTCCTAAAATTCCTTGATGAATAAAGACAAACACGTGGAACAGACAAGTTGTGAACATTTCTGTGAACAAGTGTGAACATTTTCACACTCCCATTCCCAGGCACAGAGCCATCCACAGGCACTGGCCACGCTTATGAGACCTCCAAACCTGGGATGAACTGAATCCAACTATTCATTGACCACTTTGCTCGATAATCAAATCCTGAAGAGTATCAGGATCTTTCAAACCTTTATGCAAGACATCCCTGGTCCTTTCTGACACAACTCCCTGTGTGGAGACAGGTGAAGATGTGGGAAGCACAGCAGGAGAGGCAGCTGCTCCCGTGCTGTCCCAACCCAAGGGACACCTCAGCAGTCACTGGGCCACCCCAAGGGACCAGGAGTGACCACCTAACACATCCCACACCTTTCCTAACGTGCCCAGCACCAGATTCACCTTCCCAGAGCGTGGAGGGATGGTTCCAGGCAGCCTGCAAGCAATGATCCCGCTTCCGGTTCCCGCAGCAGAGGAAAGCCGTGGGAAGGCCGTGCAGGGGGCCACTCACCCAGGGTTCTCCGGATGAGGTACAGCTGGTCCACGTCAGACTTGCCCGGCCAGAGCGGGACCCCCGAGAGCAGCTCGGCGAAGACGCAGCCCACGGCCCAGACGTCCACGGGGGGCCCGTACTGGGTGTCCCCCACCAGCAGCTCCGGCGAGCGGTACCACCGCGTGGCCACGTAGTCCGTGTAGGAGTCACTGGGACCCGCTGGGGTGGGGTCAGGGAGGAGAGGGACAATCAGGAATGTGGGATCAGGGCGATGCAGCCATCAGCTGTTGCACGTGCTGGGGCAGTGCCTGGGCAGGCAGAGGCTGCAGGAACGGGGTGAGTCACTGGCCTCAACAGGACCCTGCTTTGGAAACGCTTTGGCAAAAATCAGGACCGTGTTTTTCTCCAGGGCCCTGCAAGCAGCCAGGGGGCAGTTCCCGGAGCCCACGTGATTTGTCTGAACACAGGAGCTAAAATAAACCAGATTAGGGGCTTTATTTATAAGGAAAATGTGAAGCCATTGTTTGCGCAGGCAGCCAGAGGGGTCTGGCTCCCAGGGAACTCCAGCTGTGTCTCCAGCACTGCATAAACAACGGCTGGGCAGCTCCAAGATGCCCAAGGCTGACTTCCATCTGCCAGTGCCAGCACCCCCAGCAGCTCAGCTGCCCCAGCAGGGAGCTCAGGCTGTTTACAGATCCCCGTCACCGTGGTGTCTGGGCTCCTTCCTTTAAGGTTTGGGATCTCTACCCAGCCTTTAGCAGAGCTTCCCTGGGAAGACTCAACAGCCTTTTATAGAGGATGCTTTGCAGATGCATCAGGCAAAGGCAAGTGAGTGAAAAGCTGACCCTACACTTCAGTGGAGCTTTCCCGTGTTAACAATCCAGCAGCACTCACTCAGTATCCGAGCAAACCCGAAGTCACAGAGTTTGATGACGGAGTGCTTTGTTATCAGGATGTTTTCTGGCTTTACATCTCGGTGGATGCACTACAAGCAGAGAAAGACAAGGTTAGAAGCAAGTATTTAACCTGGCCCTCAGATAAAGACCCTCTTGATTCATCCACGCACCACTTGCACGTTGTGCCAGGCAATCATTCCTGCTGAAGGAGGTGGAAGGATTTCCGAGCAGCAGCTAAATCCGTGTCCCGTTGGACAGGACAGTCACCTGCCCACAGCCCACCTTTGGGATGAGATCCTGTGCAGGCTCCCACCCAGCTGCACAGCTCTGTGTCACCTGCACGACGCGGAGCCAGCTCCCAGAACCAGCTGGGAAGCTCCTGGCAATGAAAGGACGGAGGCAAATGGGCATAAACTGAGCACCTCCACTGAAATCTAAGCAATTTATTTAATCTTTTTAAACTGAGAGGGTGGTCAGACACCCAAACAGGTTGTCCAGGGAGTCTGGGAAGCCTCCAGCCTTAGAAATCTTCAAGCCCTGACTGGAAAAGTTTCTGAGCAGCCTGCTCTAGCTGAGCCAGCTTGAGTGGGAGGGCTGGACAAGATGATCTCCCTTCCAACATCGGCAATTCTGTAATTCTTAGGAGGAGACCTTGACCTTGACAACAACTGGGCTTGACAAAGGATTTCTGCTGATCAAACTAGCAGAGACCTTCATTTCTTTTGCTCTGCTCAACTCACCAGGGTCTCACTCATG